GCCGACATAAGTTTTACACTTTTTTATTATTAAACTTACAATTGACACGTGTAAAATTTTTTTATATTTTCCGGATGTACGTTGTGTAAGCAAATTGGTGCGAAATGTTATATAGTATGCTACAAACTTCTCCCACTCATTCCAACTAATGTTCAGATTCATGCTAATTAATGTCTTTTCTAGTATTGTTGGCTCCATATTTTTAAAACATCATTATAAAGACAGAGAAAAAATATTGGCATTTTGATATAAAAAGTCACAATGTCATGAGGGTTGCTGCTGAGAATAACATGTGAATCACATTCTAGATTTTCAACAGTAGAAGATGGATCATTTGGGACTAGTGATTTGTGTCTGCTGACAGCAATTCCATCAATGCAATGATACAGAAGCTCTTGGGCTAAATTCATATTGATTATCAAAACTTGTAAAAAAATCATACATGTTGTTATTGAGTTCTTTGAAACATATTTCTAAAAGATACTGTAATGCATGAGGCAATCCTCCTGTGTCCTCCAAATGATAAAGAAATGGTCTACATAGCTTCCATTTATATTCACCACATTCAAATTTTTCTGCATTACATGACTCTGCAAATTGATCTACAATCTTAATCATAGATGTCATTGATAACAATGGACATTCAACAAAATGAAATGAAACTCTAGATGGCTCCTTAGCTGAAATGACAACTTGTGGAGCTGTTCCTGAAATGAATGTTTGAACAAATGCTTCTAGTCTATTCATCATAAATGTTGCAAGTTCATTGAACATATCTTTAAAGAAATCTTTATTAAAAGTTGACATATATTTTTTCTCCCATTTATCAATCAATTGAAATTCATCAATATGAAGAAAAACAAAAAGTTCCTGATTCTCTTTCAATTCTAAATGTTCAGCAATGCTCTGAAACACAGCACCAATGTTGAAGTATTTGATGTATGGCATGATCTTTGACCAAAATTCAATAAATGACATTTTATATTTTTCATGAAGAATATATAAGCAATTCGTATGCCAATAATCACTGATGAAGAAAGTCCATAGTCAGTATTATCAAGTGGACATCCATTCCCAAAATCTAAGCAAATATATTGAAAATGAGGTTGAATATTTTTTGTTGACAAAGTAGGTGGAGTCCAGTTATCTTTGAGTTGAAAAAAAAGTTCTTGGCCAAATCGTGTTTTACCTAAAATGCAAGATGTAGAGAAACAAAAACTTGAATATAAAAATTGTATTTCCTATGAGTGTTAAAGAAGTTAGAGATAATATATTACCTATTCCTGGAGCTCCTCCACTGACAAGGATATCAAAATCTGTTTTTTGTTTTTTACCCAAAATGTTCTTTTCTAAATTTTTTTTAAATATTTTAATTGCAATAATGACATCTCAAAATCATATTCTAAAGTGGAAGCATGACCAACATTTTCTAAAACAATCTTGTCTATAACATCTTTAACTGAAAATTAAAGGAAATAAACATTAGAGATTAGGAATGCGAATGCATGCAGACACAATATTTCATGAATTATATACTTGTTTTAAATGCATCTTTATCTGTTGTGGAAATAAAAGTAGTAACAGAACAAATTAGTTAAAGCTGAAACAATATACAAATAAATAAGTAAAACGAAGTGGACAAAAAATAATTTTTTTTTACACAATTTGTTCATTACCTTTTCCTTCAAATTCTGCAAGTTTATTTAAATTTATGAGCAGCTCCTCCAAATCATCTACCTTCTTTTCCAACCTCTTCTCTTTTTCCTCCAGTTTCTTCAGCTGATTCTCCTCACTTTGACTAAGTTCATTTCTTCTTTCCTTTCCCTTCAACTCCTTCAACCACATTCCGTCCTCCCATTCCTCCAGCATTAAGATTGGGTTGACGCCAATCATTATTTTTTCTTAAATTACGACCACGAAAATTTTGTGCATTTTGATTTGCCAATAATTGTTGCTGCTGTAAAATTAAAAGCTGCTGTTGTTGTTGCATTTGATGAAAATGAAGTTGTTGTTGCTGTTGATGATGACGTTGTGCTGCTTGTAGAGATGGGATTTGTTTTTGAGGCGATGACGTTTGTTGCTGTTGAGATGAATCTTTTTGTTTTTGTTTCAATTGCTTGTTAGCATTGTTTGTGTTATTGTTATTATTATTACTATTGGTGGTATCATTTGAATTTAAAATTTCACCTTCTTCTTTTTCAGAAGATTTTAAATTTTTTGATGATTTAATATCACCATCATCTTTTTTTAGTAATGATTCGTCAATATTATCACTATTATCATTGTTATTATCATTATCAATGTTTTTATTTTCCAAAGAATTATTTTCTAAAGATTCACTAATTTTTTCTTGTTCGTTTACATTCTTATCAAAGCTTTTAAGCTCGCTTAATTCCGACAATGATAATAATGATGATGATGATATATCTTTAGTCTGTAAATCATTTGAGTCAATATTCCATTCATTATTCCATAGTTCATCATCATATTCACCAGCACTATTTTTATTTTTATTACTATTATCATCATCATTATCGCCAACATTATTTATATTGTTGTAACTTTTAAGAAAATCTGAATCGTTTATATTGAATTCTTCCAAGTTATCAAAATCAAAAGTATCTTGCTTTACTAAAGTTTCATTATCATCACCACTTTTATCTTCTGTTGCCACTTCTATTTTTGTTATTTTTTCTAATAAAGATGTATACAAGGGGGGGAAGAGAAAGAAAATTATAGTAATAATAGTATTAGAATAATATTTAATAATTTTAGCAGTAGCCTATTAATAATAAATAGTGTTGAAAGTCGAATCGTCCGATTCATTAATTCCTTCCAAATTATTAAATTATTCGGAATCAATACCTATAACTTCAACATTTTTAACACCATCTTGCTGTTGTTGTTGTTGTTGTTGTTGTTGTTGTTGCGCTTCTAACTCGAGATTTATATCACCGTCTAAATCAAACATTTTGTCATCTATTATATTACCTATTGTTGTTGAAGCTGTTGTTAAATCATAGTTCTCATTAGTTGGGAAGTCGATTCCACCATCTTCAAAGTCTAGCAAATCATCCATGTCGGACATTTTTAAAGTTTTTGTTTCTTTCGATATATAGAGACAAATATGATTGATCGAAAATAACTTGATGGTTGCTTAAATGACAAGTATATATGTTTTATGTGGAAAATAAAAAAGTATTATTTTATTTTGACCAACTTTTTTTTTCCTAAAAAAAATTTAAGGTATGGTGGTGATTATTAATAAAATGGGAAATATATATTTTACATGTAGATCATCTTTTGTTTTATTATAATTCTGTGTAACGTCGTATTGTCACAAGACATCATTGCTCATTTTTATCAATAAAAAGAGATAGCATGTATTGCAACAGTGTTTAAACATAAGATTGATTTTTAGGTTCTAAAGACATATACTCGGAAATGCATTGGTTTATAGTTTATTATTAAATTTTAGATTGTTAATAAACCTTCAGAGATCCAAACTATTTGATTATAATGCTAAAATTATTGATTATATGGGGCATGCTGCAACAAAACCAGGCAAAGTGAACATTGTTATTACCAAGAATTTCAGGGATCAATAATCCTTGTTTAACTTCACAATTGTATTACTGGTGTAATGTGATCATGACATTTGTCTAGACAAAAATAGTTAATATGAAACTAATTTACATCAGATCTACTATGGAACCCAAAAATTACATCACCATTAGAAGTATTTTAAAAGAGGAACAAAATGAAAAAATTGCTCCTTATATTTTTAAAATAAATGATACTCAGGCAATTGAAGCTTATCTAAGGAAAGAAAAGATCACTTATGAAATTTATCAAGAAGAAAGACAAATTGGGGCATGCTGCAACAAAACCAGACAAAGTAAACATTGGTATTACTAAAAATTTCAGGGACCAACAGTGCTTGTTTAACATCATAATTGTATGTTTGTCTAGACAAAAATAGTTAATATGAAGCTAATTTACATTAGGTCTACTATGGAACCAAAAAATCACAGCGCCATTAGAAGTATTTTAAAAAAGGAACAATGTGAAAAAATTGCTCCTTATATTTTCAAAATAAATGATATTCAAACACTGGAAGCTTATCTAAGAAAAGAAAAGATTACATATGAAATTTATCAAGAAAAAAGAAAAATAATAAATGTTGGAAAAAGAAAGCATCATGATGATGTATTATTACCTAATAAAAAGCAGAACCCTTAGAAGGAAAATAATTCAACAGACCTCCAAATTCTATTACCATATTCGTTATGTGGAGAAATCATTTTTGTTGCACTAGTGAACATGGATAATATTATTCAAGGAATTCGCATTTATTTATTTTATTTAAGTTATCTTTTAATTTGGATTGTACTTGCTGGGGAGTCTATAAGCTTACCCACAATATAGATATTAAGATTCATTTTTTTTCTTTTATTTATTTATACATTCCTAACAATTGTAAATTAATATTTAAAGATATAAATTAAAATGAAATAAAGAAAGATAATTTTCAAACTTAATTCAATTTTAGCTTTCTTATTTCACTATAAAATTTATAAAAATCAGATCTCTATTATAATCAAAAAATTGATCAAATATTGATAAAATGGAACCAAGAAAAAGCCATTTTAAAAATGAAATAAGCCAACTTACTGGTAATAAAAAATATTCACATGAAATCGAAAACCTATGGAAGGATTTCAAACAATTATTTGATGAAAAGACTGGGTTGAATCCCGATTTTTCATGGCCACTGAAATTCGTCAATTACTTGAAGAGGGAAAGGGAATTGCTGCTTCTACAATAAAAAACTTCTGCCAATGAAAAACAAATCCTAGAAGAAAAACACTAGAAGCAATTCAGCAATGGGTTGAAAAGGAAAAGAAGAAAGAGATGGAGAATAAAGTCAAAGAAGATAATGAAAATGAAGAATATATAAATATTAGTTATAATATTATTATTGATAATAATAGTGGCAGTAATCATAAAAGTTGAATTTTGTCAGAGCACCCAATGAATAGGTAATACCTATAAATGGCTTTGGGTCTGAGTATTCTCTTTCCATGCAAGCACTCTGACAATTATTTAACTTATTATTTTTTTTGTTGCTTAATTCATTTGTCCATGCCCATTAATTTATGGAAAATATACAGAAAGGTTCTTTTTATGGAATATACAGAACCCTACCAAAAATAGCAATTCATTCTATAAAAAAGGAAACT